TTTTTTTACCAGTTCCGGTTCTGGTTTTCAACTTTCTTCCTGGTGAAACCTGCGAATCCTTGTGAAACTGGAGCAAATTCGTCAAGCCCATTGCTTTACAAAAGTTGGCAGTACACTTCCCAAAAGTTGACAGGTGGTCCCTACAAACTTTGTCTGGTTTCATTTCGTGGCTTCACAAGTTTTTTTAAGTCTCCACTTGATGGCTGGCACGTCGATATGAAGCTGCGGAAGGCAACCCCCCCCCCCCCCCACTCTCCGAAGCGGAACGGCGCCAAAAGTTTTTTCTATGATCTCCGTCTTGGCTCTTATTAATACCTCAGAAAACGCTAGAGTTCTATCGAGCCGCAAAAAAAGTTCTTGTAATGCTTACTACTGATGCCAGTCTAGATGAAATTTCAACAGCTGATGGTTATTTTTACATCGCCATAAAATTTGTCGCCAAGAATGAAAGCGGAACTGAATGGCTCGTAAAAACAAAGAAACGCAATACCTTGAAACCAAAGGCGGAAATGATACGGATGTCGGCTGGCACACGATCACCGCCTTTCACTTCGACGATGTCACCGACGACCAGTTCTTCCGTTCGAATTTGTTGCTTCTGTCCGTCACGATGGACAAGAGCAAACTGTAAGTTACAGGTTTTAGTCAATAAAAGGACTTTTCTTGTCTTGGAGGAAATGTTTTCAATCTCTCGACTACACAGATGTTTAAACAGGTATTCTTGGCCTACATTTTCTAATTGAGTAACGATCAGCTGTAATGACTTACAGTGGGCACCATGTTCTTGAAGGAATCCATAATCTTGCTTGATTTGCTTTCCTGATAGTACTGGAAGCATCCGGTGATCACGACGACAGTCATCAATACAATACCGAGATATAGCTGTAAAATGGATCGATAACCACAGAACTCTATGGAAATACAAAAGTGCTTACGTTGTCCTTTGATGGATACTCCATGGTGAAATAGTCGACGGAATAAGCGACGTAACATAGGAAAGCGCCAACCTGAAAAGCGACAGTATCTCAGAACTCACACAGTCTTCACAGGTGGCTATTTTAGTAGGAAAAACGACTAACCCACAAAAGAAGGGCAAACCCTCCAAAAAGATTCTTGCAGAACTTAATCCACTCTGGAGTGGTTTTTGGAGGCGACAAGGCGTTCGGACCATCTCGAGCCAAGATTTCTGCGGCCTTTGCTCTTGTGAGACCCTGTAAGTACCATGGATGTCGTGCCATGAATACATTCCCCATTTGAAACGATTAATTGAAAAAATAAGATGCACAAGAAGGTTGAATTCTCGCGACGAGGTCATAACAGTCCGCAACTGTTTCAGGTGGAATGTAATGACCTTATCGTTTCAGATCTAATTCCTTGATGGGCGCACTCTGACACATTACTATGATGCGGAGGAAAACAGAAAAGGAAAGGAGGTGCTGATCGCTCTGGTGGGGCGTTTAGAGGACTCATTATAGAAAACTGGAAGTGGAAATGAGGACTCTTGCCTGGTCTTCAAGACAACCTCGTGATTGTATATCGTGGATAATCGAGTTCGATTACAAACCTATCGCCCGCAAATGAAGCTTTAGGAGGAAGAATACAAAAAAAGTCATGGCAGCTTCTCTGGACGAGTCTTTCGGACCTGCTCGTGTTATGCAGCAAAGGGATATTCTACCGCCTCTGGCACCCTGATCGTCTCTCTGCTTCATCCAATGCTACTAATCCCACAGCGGCCAGGAATTGCCTCTAAGTTTCAGTGGGCGGGAGGGACAACTAGAGAGGCGTCAGAGCTGCCGCTTCTGAGGGCCACAGCGCCTTTGTTACCTACTGTGAAACCGCAAAAGTGGGACAATCTTAGAGACTGAGGGCTGAACCACTAGTACAAAGAAGGACGCCTACGAATTGCTGAGCGCGGGGCTGTATTCAATGAGAAAAGGAATTTCGAGGTGGATGAACTAATCTAATGTACGATAGTTCTATCCGAGAAGGGTTTGCCCAATTTCGCGCTTCAATGGTGCCTCAAAGGTCCCCACGCTCACTGGTGCAGACGAGAGAAGTGGACTTGGTGAAACGGTCCCATACCCGAATCTTCCCATCTATTTGGCTCAAATTACTCAAATGAGGGCTCTGCTTTGACTACTCTCTCAATATATTAGTCCCGAACCCTAAGTACCTTTGAATAAACTGAAAATACAAGGAGCAACCGTTCCTCTTTCGTTTCTTCGTGATCGTTTCTGGCACCATGACAAGGTCTTTTTGCTCCAGAACGGAAATTGCTAAGCTGAGACGCCCTGTTTTCCCTCCCCCATTTCCATCCCCAGAAAACTTCCCACGTTTCTGCACGCAGTTCTTCTTTCCTC